TTTCGTCCCCCGAGTCTCTACATCTTTTATCCCTGAGTCTTCGCCTCCTAAAGCTTTGCCCTCTGAGTGTCTAACGCCTTTGGCTTCATCCCTGAGTGTCTGGCTCCTGAAGCTTTGCACCCCCGAGTCTCTGCCTTTTGAAGATTTGCCCCATGAGTTCCTGCCTCTTCTAGTGATTGGCTATCCAGCACCATTAACTTTTGAAAACCTAGATGTTTCCAGTACAACAAAAAACAACATTGGAAAAATATAATTTTAAGCATGAGGTTAGAGAAAGTAGCAAATAATTGTCTATTAATAGCTAATTGTGTACATAACATTTTTGTATTGCAAGCTGAACTAACAGAGTTATCTGAATATTACTTACAGATTTATCTCCGCTACGTAGTACTCAATTTCATTGAGCAAAATGAGGTCGAGGTGGCACCATCCTCATGGCTAGAGTGGATCGATGGGGTAAGATTTAGATATTATATTTATTTATAAATGATAAACATTAAAACAAAGTCAACTATATACAGAAAACATTAAGCAAACATCCTTGTTTCTGTCTGAAAGGTACTGTTTTGCTATTGGCCCAATTCAAATGTTGGGACCAAGGTCAAAAAATGTGCCATTCGAGACGAACACCTCTGGACAAAATATGCAGTCAGAGTATTTTCTGACACAGGTAAAGTGTAAAAAACAAGGCTATCTTCAAGCTCATCAAATACTGGCAACATTCATAAAATATAAATTGTTTATATAATGTATATTAAGCAAAAGTTGTGCTATTTTGAGAGCAGACAATTACAACCTGGCCAGATACCGGGTCCAAAAAGCAATGGAAACCTCTCATGTTGAGGACTCTGATGAAAACAGTGTACGAAAGATCATCCCACCAAGACGATTCAGAGGTATTAGATCTGTGCTCACACTGTAAATAAATTAAGGTTGGTCACATTGAAAGACAATTTCAGTTTTAACTTTGTTTTTTGCAGAAGAAGAAATCCAGCCCAGAAGAGCACAACACTGTAAGTATACAGTACATACATCATTAAACAAATGAAGTTGAAATGATCAAGGAAAGTCAAATGCATGTTGTCTATACATATTTTCTTTAAATGATCATTTTGTTTTACAGTTCAGGAGGACAGTGAATCATCCCAAGGTGAAATCAGTATGTTACTGTCATTACATCCATGTTAAATATTGTTAAATTATTAAACAGCGGGCATGATAAAGGATTTAGAACAGAGACATTTTGCATCTGTTTCTAATTTATATTAAAACTTTTTTCTTTCCCTATTGCATTTGATTCTGAAGATGAGCTGTCCAGCTTGAGAGCAAAGAAAACCCAAAAACGGTCAAGATCGACACCAATTAGATCTGAGTGTAAGTAGAGTGTTAAAAAAAAACTGTTGAATATTTGATTATAATTATATGTTAGATGATAATTTGAAGAGTACAGAGAAGTCCCTTTCTATGTTGTGCAAAAAACTCAAAAGAAGGCCTACACATTTAGAAATATATATAAAAAAAACTTTCAAAGACTGTTAATGTTGTTGTTGTTGTTTTTTTTTAGCTGAGGAGCCTGATGAAGGTAAAATCACTCGGATTTACTTTGATATGTTTATTTTATCATTATTTTTCTACTCACAGTTTTTTTTCTTTATGTTAGATGAAGTACAACCTATAACAAAAATAACAAAAAGGTCTATATTGCCTGAAGCACCTCGCTGTGAGTACATTTAAATGTTTTTAGTCATATAGTTGCCCCAATGGAAGTACCATTGAATGAAAGGAATATTCCAGTATTTGTGGTATAATACTGTATACTTTGTTTTCAAATGTATACTGTAGTCACATGATTTACACATATGCTAATAACATTTTTTTGGCTTATAAAAAGAAAAACAACTACAGATCAAGCATGTACAAGAGTTCAACTGTTGGACTAAAAATGGGTCTTACATACATTTTTATTTTAATCTAATGATTTATTTTATGTGTTTAAAGTTTCATCTCCTTCATCACAACTGCAGCCACATCAGTCCATTTCTGCCAACTTTCAGAATCAAGGTACATTAAAATGTTGTTGTTTTTTGATACATTGATACAGATGTTAATCTGAATAATGTTTTTGTGACTTGTTAGGGAGTGTGAATGATCCACAATCTCTTCGAGATGGTAACTATTTAATTTCCTCAAAATTATCTTACAGTCAGTTTTATTAAAGGGTTAGTTCACCCAAAAATGAAAATTCTGTCAGTATTTACTCACACTCAAGTTGTTCCAACCCCGTAAGACCTTTGTTCGTCTTCGGAACACAAATTAAGATATTTTTGATTAAATCTGAGAGCTGGATCAGTCCTGCATACTAGTCCATAGACTTCTTGAGGGATTAAAACTTGCTGGCCTCGAAAAGTCATTAAAGACATTGTTAAAATAGTCCAAGTGACTTCAGTGGCTCAATCTTAACTTTATCAAGCGACGAGAATACATTTTGTGCGCAAAAACAAACAAAAATAACGACTTTATTTCAAATATTCACTTCCTTCTCTATGGGCCTGTAGTCAGTTAACGTAGTGTGATAGCGTAGAGCTACGTCACACGTAGGCTCACTATTGAGAGTGAGGAGTCACGTGCCGATTTGGGCGGGGTCTGAGCCGGTCGGCCATTTTGGGAGGATACACTATCGGCCAAGGGCAACGCCTTCAGAACTACACAGAGGCGCGACTAAATATGCCAGAAATAGCGAGAGAGACAGCACAGCGCAGTATTTGTTTACATTTTAGCGATACACACGGCAGTGTCTTTGGAAGATATGGAGAAGGAAGAGAAATGAAAGTGGTTCTATAACAATGCTAGCCGGCTTTATTTAGAGAAACTGCTTGTGGATAAACTGACAGCAGCAACAGCATGAGCAACAGTGAGAAAAGCATGATTTCAAAAGCAATACATTTCAGTTCGCCTTTTATTTAACACAAACAAACGAAATGAATACTCTGTTATTCAACTAGAGTTGTTTAATTTATTATAGATATATCTGTACCGCGAAATGTTTTAAAAAGACACTTTTTTTAATGACGTACGATTCTCATTGACAGGGGAATGTCCTATGATCTATCTGCTTGACGTTGCATGGCAGGTGCAAATGCACGTATCTGATTCAAATCAGATTTATTTCCACATATGAATGAAGCCTGAAACATGAAGTTTGACTGAATTCTCGCAGTTTAGCGTTACAGGTTTGGGGGTTTCTCTTGCACCCAGCCACAGCAGAATTGTTCATAAGCTTCTAATGACTTAAAAGCTTCTGAACTCTTTGCATTGTGTAGCAGTAACGTTAAGCACTGTTACCATAAACCAGGTGCTTGACTATGTCAGGGTGTGTGAAAGGTGGTAGTGCTTCGGGTCTTTCGTCCATTCTGTAGCAGGTCGTACGGGTCCTACTGTATGTTGATGTCAAGTAGTTTCTCTAAATAACGCTGCTCAGTGTTGTTATGTAGTCTCTCCCGATAGAGACCTTAATTTTCTTTTGCTTCATTTATTCCCAAGAAAGTGTGCCTTATCGCAAAAATGCAAATAAATATCAAGCTGCACTCCTTCTCTGTCGCTATTTCTCTCAGTCTCACGGTCGAAGTAACCATGACAACGGATAGCGTGTCCTCCCAAAATGGCGGATCCCTCCCACAATGCAACGCGGAGTTATACGCGTGACGTAACCTCCTCATTCTCAATTGGCCGACGATGGTCATGTGTGTGTGATGCGTGTGACGTACAAAAACAGAAGCTTACGTTATTAAACTATTAGCCTGACTCGAGGCAGAGAGAGAAGTAAATGAATAGTTGAAATAAAGTCATTCTTTTTTGTGCACAAAAAGTGTTCTCGACGTTTGATAAAGTTAAGATTGAGCCACTGTAGTCACTTGGACTATTTTAACAATGTCTTTAATGACTTTTCAAGGCCAGCAAGTTTCAATCCCTCAAGTAGTCTATGGACTAGTATGCAGGAGTGATCCAGCTCTCAGATTTAATCAAAAATATCTTAATTTGTGTTCTGAAGATGAATGAAGGTCTTACGAGGTTGGAACAACATGAGGAATTTTCATTTTTGGGTGAACTATCAACTTTAAATGTCTCCCAAACATTTTTTTTTTGTATTGCTGTAGTTAGTTATGTCATTATTTTCAAAACAAATTCTGAACAGAAATATACAAGTTATTTGAGAATTTGGAGAGGAGAATCATACTGAAACTAGACGCAATCGAGGAAAACATCACATCAGCATTCAGAATGCAGAATATGAGGCAGCCAAGCACCTCTGTCTCTGATCTCACAGAGGTGCTAGAGGAACCCTGTGAGACTGTGGAGGAATTAGAAGAGCTCTGTGAGAAGCTAAAGGATGCTGACCTTCGAAAGAAGATGGTAGTACTAGTAACATAAAAACACAATTAACATTACTAACCTGAAATACTAAAAACAATCCACTCTTGTGATTAATTGCTGTTCTTTGTTGTTTGTAGATTCGTTATCTGTGTCTTCAGAGTGGAGGCACCTTGGGAGATGGAATAAGGAGAATGTTAAAAAAAATTGGAGATAACTCTTTATGGACACACTATAGCTACAAAGGGAGAAAGGGAAAGCTTAAATTTCAGCAGCTCCTAATTAATGATGTGATCATACGTACGTTTCAAAACTTGCCACTTATAATGACTAATAATGTGTCAATCCCCAAAATGTAAATAAATTAATCTTAAATGTATAAATGTAAAATTTGTTAGTTCTCAGGTCTTAGCGTTCAGACTTATAGCACTCATTTTGAAAACAAGATTTAATTTTGAAGCGTTTTACTAGAACTTTCAACATCTATCTGAGTGCAAGTTTTAATAACTGTAATCTCTGTATGTAATCAAGGTGCATGCAGTAAGGCATATCCACACCAAAAAAGCCAGAGTGTGGAGGAAATGATTGCTGTGACCCTGAAACATGCCCCAGATCGTGCAAAAACAGCAAATCAGGCAAGTGCATAACATTTAATTCTAGCAATTATAATAGGTTAGATTACATTAGATAGATTAGAGTTACATTATAGGCAGAGATGGGACCAAGTCACACATGTGCAAGTCTCAAGTAAGTCTCAAGTCTTAACCGTCAAGTCTCAAGTAAGTCCCAAGTATTTTTTTGGGGGGCAAGTCAAGTCAAGTCAAGTCACAGGCTATGTCAAGTCAAGTCAAGTCAAGTCACAGGCTATGTCAAGTCAAGTCAAGTCAAGTCTTGTAGTAGGTTAAGTCAAGTGCAAGTCAAGTCACCTTATTATTGTAATTTTACATGCAGAATCTGATCTTAATAAAGTGAAAAGACAAGATAAGTATTTGCCAGTAAATTACAATAATTTGGATTTGCATTGTAAATACTCATGTTCAGTAAAATACATAATGGAATCAAACTAAATTTTAACTTCATAAAATTATTTATTTTTCACTTCTGCCAACAGTGTTTGAAATGTTTTAAATTTTCAGCAATTTGAAATGTTTTAAATGTATCAGCAATGGCGGGGTAACATCACTTCTGTTGATGTTCAAACAAAACAGAGAGCTAGCTGGCTACTCCCTCCCATGCAATTGAAACTCTTCTAAACGTGCATCTATGGGTATCAGTTTGGTTTGAAATGGACAGAGGCGCATTCGGAAGTGTATTTGGGTACAATGACGCATTCATTTACTAGCTTACTGATTTAAAGAAATAAAAATGTATACAAAAAATGAGATGATGTCCTGACTTGTTTTATGAAAAAAGCCTTAAGTTTTCAAAAAGCATTAGACATTACTCACTTACTCCCAGTAATTACTCCCAGTCAAGTTTGATAAAAATAAATGTTTAGTATTTTTTATTATTAAAATGCATTTAAGAAAATATATTAATATAAACCTGATTTATTGTTGACTGGTGTGTGTGTTTTAAAATTTGTTTTCAGAATAAAAATGGAACTTTCAAGCAAATTGTAGAAATCCTCCCTCCGAACGTTATAGGCAGTAAAACATGTTATGGGTAGATTAATGTGGTAATGCATCTCCGAAATGGGACATAATTAACCCAGATATTTTTTCACAAGACAGAACCATGTCATAAAGCCCATTACAAGTCTTAACTCATTTTTGACCAAATGTGTAGTACTGCGGCTTTGCCTTTGTAGGCAGTATTGCTATGGGTTCCCTACAGGAAAACTGAAACTCCCTGAGCTTCTTCCTGTATTCGCGAAGTTGACTGTGTGTATAAAATAACTTCTTATTAAACTGTTGGACACTCTGACAAAAGTTCTCAATGCTTCGTTTTGAATGTAGGGACCCTTATTATGTTAGTGTGGGGCTATTTTGAGCCTTGTGGTAATAAAACGTTTTTTTATTTACCATTAATCTATGCCCTATAACTACCGTTATACTAGCGTTATAGGCTAAACTGTTTTTATAGATTAAACTATTTACATTCGGCAATCATGAAAACAAATCTCAGATAACGGTGACTAGGTAACAATGTGTAATTTTGCGCCGGTGTTCTCTTTTAACTTACATTAGCTAGCTAACTACGAACGAGCTAACAAGATAACATTAACAAATTGACAAGCACTACTGGGCAGAATGGCTCTTCAAATGACGGACGAAATTGGAGGTTGGTCGTCTGGCTGTCTGCGATCTTAACGTTGCATGTCTTGCAAAGCGCTATTCTTTTGCCATCTTGTTTTGAGAAATTCTTTAAATCGAAAGCAACGACCCTCGGTATCCCTCCGGTGACATGTTGATGTGATCTGAATGTAAGTGGGCGTGGTGTGCGTAAGGTACTACGAGAGGGCATGATTGATGATCTCGTGATCCAGTCATGACAGCGCTATTCTCAGCCTGCGCTCCAGCTGGATCAACTTTATTTTTTTTACATAATTTATATATTTTATATTTAAACTGAAAACATGATGTGATTAACACTCAAGTCATTCAAGTCATCGTGTCTCAAGTCAAGTCAAGTCCCGAGTCTTTAACTTCCAAGTCCGAGTCAAGTCTCAAGTATTTTATTTTTTGTCAAGTCAAGTCACAAGTCATAAAAATAGCGACTCGAGTCGACTCGAGTCCAAGTCACCAAGTCACAAGTCCCCATGTCTGATTATAGGTACAATGTAACATGACCATATTGACCATGATCATGACCATGACAGATTAAAATTATTTGATCTAATAAAAAATATGCACGCTGCAATGCAAAACTATACTATTTTGTCAATAAAATACAACTATTACATTTTTCATATAAAATGCAAGTTCAAGACATTTGAAGGATAAGAAAAAGCTTTAAAACCATGTCATATTCATTCTTTGCATAGAGCTGAACTTTTTTAATTTACTGATGGCTACAAATTTTACTATATTAATTCTCAATATGTAAACATTCATTTTTAATCTTTTGCCTATGATGAAAACGGCTTCATGTTTCTTGACCACTTCACAAGATGTAAACAACACTGGTCCAGAAGCACTTGCTGTTTCAGTTTTTTAACACTAAAGCTGGGATAAAATACAACCAACAGAACATTTAAAACTGAATCAAAAAGTTAAACAAACATCTTTAAGATGTTTTCTTTACATGTGAAATAAAAGAAAACAGTTACAACTGAAACATGAAGTGTTTCTGGACCAGTGTTGTTTTACATCTTGTGAAATGGTCATGAATCAAGTTACGGCCATTTTCAGTTCAAAATGTTATAACGTTAACATTTATAATATAAAACAGTTGTCAAATATGAAATGTTTAGTTTAGGTACTTACATCTCATCTCGCACTTGACCCGTAAAAACGTGTCGACTTTGGTAAAATTCGCGCTCAGCGTCTGTGACTATAAAAGCCCTCCTACTTTGATTTGATTGGTCATCTCAAATATTTCTGACATTGACGAGCAGTGACGACAGATGAAGCTGAAAACGCACACACAAACACACTAGGCTTGTTTGAGATGAGCAAATTCAAAAAAAAAAAAAAAAAAAAAAAAAAAAAAAAAAAAAGCAAATTCTGCGCAGAATCGATCACCGGTGATCAGCGCGAGATGCATGCCGGTTAGAAATGTTTTTTTTTTTTTTTTTTTTTTTTTTTAATTCTAACCAACAAAGTCAATATACAGTCAGAATTGCAATATATACAAAATGGAGAAAACAAAAACAAGCAGAAAAAACAAAAAACAGACAGCCAGGGGGGGGAGGCTAAACATTATATAAAAATATCAAAGGATTCACAAATCGAAATAGTTTTAATTGCTTTCTTATTGTGGGAATGAAGGATAGTTTTGATATATAATTGCATTTCTTTTTCAAGAACCAAAAACAAAGGTTTGGTTTTATTGTACTTACATTTATGTATATGGAATTTAGCATAAATTAAAATTAAATTTATAATATAGTATTCCTTCCTTTTATTTGAAGGAATATTATTAAAACCAGCTATAACATTTTCTAAACACAAAGAAAAAGAGGGGTCAATATTGTGAATTATAAATCTAGATAAGTCTTTCCAAAACTTTCTTACATGAGCGCAATGCCAAAACAGATGAAACAAAGTTTCAGGCAATGTATTGCAAAAAGAACAGTTCAGATCAATATCCTTTTTAAATTTAACAAGAAAATTATTTACTGGGTAGTACCTGTGTAAGATTTTAAAGCTAATTTCCTTTATTTTGTTTACCAATAAATATTTGTTTGGTAAAGTCCAGATGGCCTTCCATAACAGACCTTCAACCAGTCTATTCCAGTAAACAATACAGTTTGGCCTCGTGACAATATCTTTTTGAAACAATGAACGAATGGTTTTATTTACATTTACGACTCCGGGGCCAAAACAAATCTTCCCAATTTCAGTATCAAATAAATTAAAGGAAGTAAGGGGTGTAGTACTGGTTTGGTTATTAGCTCTGAATAATGCTAAGACCCCTGTAGGGATCGCATCCATGACAATTGAAAACTCCCTGGGCGTCACTGGAATTTTATGGAGATCTAAAAACTCAGAGTAAGTTAGCAGCATACCTTCTTGATTTAGTAATTGACCTACTCGTATTATACCTGCTGAAAACCATCTTTCAAAAAATAAGGTTTTGTTTTTAAATAATAAATTGTAATTGTTCCAAATTAAATATCTATGGGGTGAAAAATTATGCTTATATAAAAGGGACCAAGCCAGCAACATTTGTTTGTGAAAGCAAGACAAATTTAAAGGGATTTTCTCAATTTTATAGTTGCAAATCAATAGAAAATCAAGACCACCTACTTGGGAGAAAACAAGATTGGGTATAAAATTCCAAAGGGAATTCGGATTTAGAATGAAATGTCTAATCCAATTTATTTTAAAAACATTATTTAAAGTACTGAAATCAAGGAAGTTTAAACCACCAGATTCATAATTATTCATTATTATAGACTTCCTAATATAGTGAGTTTTGTTTCGCCAAAGAAAATTAAATAATGCAGTATCAATAGATTTACACATCACCTTAGAAACAGCGAGTGAAGTCGCAGTATAGACTAATCTTGACAGTCCCTCAGCTTTACATAACAAAACTCTACCTTTTAGGGATAAATCCCTCAAAAGCCAATGGTTCAGCTTTGCTTTAGCTTTCTGGAGAAGGGGATCAAAATTTATCTTACATCTAGATTTTTGGTCTTTCGAAATGACAATCCCTAAATATGTCACAGTCTCCTTTACTGGGATATTAGCAATTTGTTGTAATTGACAGTCTTTAACAGATAACAATTCACATTTGTTGATGTTTAAGTAAAGGCCTGAAGCTTTAGAAAAGGCATCTATTACTTTAAGAGCTGCTGACACTTGATGTTGATCTTTTAGAAAGAGTGCAGTATCGTCTGCTAACTGGGATATTATAATTTCCCTATTAGCAAAAGATATGCCTTTTAATTGGCTTGACTTAATATGGATATTCATGAGCTGAGTGCAAAACAAGAAAAGATAAGGGGAGATGGGACAACCTTGCCTTATACCACGGTTTAAATTAAATCTAGATGATGAACCACATTTAAGTTTAATAGAACAGTTTGCAT